TAAAGAAGAGCTTTTTCTCCTAGTACCTTTAGGGTCTCTAAAAGTGTGCCCCATATTCCTGTTACATGTATTCTTTCAGGAATAACTGACAACGCTGTAATAAAAAAGGGGGGAAATCCCAAATCACCACCTCCTCTCTGTGAGCCCCGCAGTCTGCTGCCGACAGCTCGAAGCATTTGGCAGGAGCCGGCTGTACAAGGGAGCAGATGCTTCACGCAGGCTCTTAGAGTAACATCAGGGATATGAGAACTTGGGGAGAAATTAACCAAGCGATCAAAAACAGACGAAGAGATATTAAGAGGTATAGCATTCCCCTCTCTGTAAACATTGTGTGAGCTAGACTAACCTCATGGTTGAATTACAGAGTGCTCCATCCACAAAGATGCACAAGTAGCTTTGGAAAAATAAGTCTTTGGGAAGAAATAAAATCTCATAGGCTGATGAAGCCATAGTCTACAACAAACCGTGTTGCCAGTTGAAGGAAAAACATAAAATTCTCTCAGAACAGTTCATCAGACCTACATGTTAATGTCCATTTAATGGATGGGGGAATGTGCTCCGTAGTTTTCCTTTTTCCCCATGTTTTTGGCTTTCTTTGATGTTTTCTCTGCTGTATTTTATAAGTATTTTTTTTTTCATTCAGCATTTCCTCTTTGCTGACCCCCGTATGTTCTCTTTAAACCAGACTACAGAAACACTCTCCCATTTCTAAGAGACATCTTTGCTTTCTTCCACAAAATATTTTTGGAGGCTGAAAATGAACAGGCCAAGTAAAAAACAATAAATACAAATGGAACTTTGGGATAAAAGGTCTTCCGCAGAGCTGAGAATGAAGGTACAGTTAGCAACAATTTAATTTTGAGGAAACATAGGGTAAGGAGGTATAAAGAAATACATGTTTTCCATTAATAAATGCAAATCTGAGTTGTAGATCCATATTCCTTGAAATCAAATGGAAACTCCAAGCTTAAAAATGGAGAGAAAGACTGAGAGTGAATTGACAGACTGGACAAAATGTTGTGGTTGATTAAATCAATACTGGACTGACACAGAAAAGATGATGTCTCTTTATAACTCAAACTTAAGGAAAAGGAATAAAACGGTAGTTTGCTTTTATAGCTACAAGAATATTTCTTTTTTCTAGCACTGACAAGGACAAAGCAGCTCTGGATCACAGAAACTCATCAATTGTTAAATAACTTGCAAATTGTTGATGAACGAAAGGAACTTACAGACAGCAAGGGAATGGCAACTTTTCCAAGAAAATCAGGGGGTTTATCTCCATCTTCATCAAACACTGTCACTTCCAAAACATCATGGATGTCTTTAATGGGACTGAAACAAGAAATATCAGGTCTTATACACAAAAACACACAAGTGAAAGTCTGTTGCATGAAGATCTGAAAACACCGTTTCACTAATTAAGTCTGTGTGTCCTCAGAGTATAAAACTACCATTTAATTAAATTCTAAAAATTAAATCAAACTGACTGTATTCCCAAGCCTTCCATCATAGAAGACTCAGACATCCACATGAAAAAAAAAAAATCAAGTCAACTTTTTTACTGACATTTTCTTTCCATGTAGATGTGCACTTGAGGGTGCAACTGTTAGAGGAGCAGAATAAAGGAGAGAAAGAGTGAGAGGGAAAGGGAAATGATTTCAGAAAGTTGCTTCGAAATGAGAAAAGTAAGCATCACATTTTCTTTGAGTTAATGAAAAGGAAAGGTAAAATTCACATTTAATGAAATAGTGAGAAAGCTTCCTGTGGTCGAAACACAAATGCCAAAAATCCAAGGCATATTTAGAAACTTTTTTGTTGTTGTTGTTGTTGTTGTTGACCATAAGGCAGACACCAGTGAAAATGAAAATAGAGCCACGATCACTGACAATGTGTTAGAGAGACAAGACACTCTTATTCCTGGCCACTGGCAGACCTGTTGGCAGAGCTGATCCACTTTCTCATTGGTCCTTAGGAGATTTCTATTAATATCATCAAAACCACACAAGCAAATTAGACTTTTGTAGACTAAGCATTTATTCAGCTTTGTGAGGATAATGTACCATCATTTCACCCAAATTCAACAGGGGCCATCCCTTGATGGTCAGGTACCTTGAAATCTAAAGTAGGAAATTAAGTATATCCTGCCTCCTTAATAGACAAGTTTGATGGAGTGGGCAGGGCATTGCTATGGATTGGGTCATTCAGCTAAATATAAATAGAAGGAGGCTCTGGGAGTCATTAAAGATTCACAAATAATATGTGTTTCCTAATGACTCTGGCATAATACAAGCTTTCAGGCATTTAAGGTAATGTTAGAGCATACAAGCTCCTTGAATTTAAGGCAGGTCTCCATTTGTGACTTTATTTAACTGAGGAATGAATTGGTTTAGATACATGGAGGCTTCTATATACCCACAGATTAATTTAGTCACTTGAAAGATCTACTTTACAAATGCCTTCTATAACACTCCCTTGCAGCTCCAAATGGTCTCTTCTATTATTAACACCACACTCCATAAAATAAAAGTATAAAAGGTTTTAAGGAAAAAGAAACAATAAAATTCACTCTTTGCACATAAAAATGGACAAAAAGTTCCACTCAAGAGCCCCAGCCTGCCCCAAACATATCAAGGATAATTGCTTTAAGTAAAGCCACTCCTCTGTATTTGAGAGGCTAAAGCACTTACAATGTAAAAACTTTGTTCCACTCCGGGTTGAGGTTTTTGTAAATGGTATGTGTCTGAAGCCGGTCATTGCCTACTTCCAACAAGCAAAAAGGATCACTCTTTCCTGGCAAGAGAACAGACATTAGTCAATGACAAATGAGTCCACAAAGGGTCAAAAGCACAGTAAACAAAAGCCATGTAGTTTTCCAACAATGAAAATTTCATGTTTGGTAAAAGAGGGAAGGTGAGACTACTTTTCTAGAAAGCTCTTTGGAAGCCCTCTTTGGGAAAGTGGAAGGTATACAAAGTCTATAGGTCTTTTAGCATCTTAACAACCTAGGACCTGATACACAATACCCAACTCAGCTCAGATACAGCTGAAAGTCAGTAACCATTCAGGTCTCACAGGAAGACTATCGGTTTGACCTGAGAGAGGATCCACTTCTTTGTTTTATTTTTAAAATAAACTCAATAGCAAAAATAAACATCAGAAACAAAACAAAAAAAACCAAAACCTCAAAGCCCACACACAATCCAATTTAAAAATGAGTAAAAGATCTAAAAAAAAAAAAAGAATTCTCAAAAGAAGACATGCAAATGGCCAACAAATATATGAATGTTCACTAGTATTAATCACCAGAGAAATGCCAACTGAAGCCACAATGAGCTATCACCTTGCCCTAGTTAGAATAGCTAGTATCAAAATAAATAAAGTGTGTGTGTGTGTGTGTGTGTGTAGAAAGGGAACTCTTATGCACAGCTGGAGGGATGTACATTAATATATTCCTTATAAAATTCACAGGTTCCTCAAAAAGTCAAAAGTATATCTATCACATGATCCAGCATTCCATTATTAGGTATATATTTAAAGGAAATGAAGTCAATATATTGAAGAAATATTTGTACTCCCATGTTTATTGTAACACTATTCACAGTAGTCAAGAAATCAAAATAAGGTTCCATCGATGGATGAGTGGATAAAAAAATGTGGCACATATACATACATGAATAATATTCAGCCATAATACAGATGATACCTAGTTGGTTTTTTTTTTTTTTTGCCACAGCATGGATTAACTGGGAGGACAATTTTATGAAATAATTTAGGCACAGAAAGAAATACTGCATGATCTCAATTCACATGAAATCTAAAGAAGCTGCTCTAGTAGTGACTAGAGGCTGGGCAGGGTAGGAGTGACAGCTGAGTGGGGAAGATTCATCAAGAAGTATAAAGTCACAGTTAGGCAGGAGGAATGCATTCCAGCTTCTCCCGCATTAACAGAGAAACTACAGTTGACAACATTGCATTGAATATATTTCAAAGCAGAAAGAAGGAAGGATATTGAAGTTTCTCACCAATAATAAATGATTAATCTATAAATATGGTAAGTGCCCTGATTTAATTATTACACACTGTATTTATCAAAACATCACCCTGTATTATAAAACTGTTACTATATGTCAGCTGGAAACAAAAGGGAAAATGGAGCACATCTCTGCTTAGATCCTAAACTTTCTTTAGGTCAGAATGGATGGTTACTCTTCTACAATTAAAAGCCTATGAAAACTTCCATCATTTACATGGCTGTGAGAAGACATGCAAAAGAAGTGTAGAAATGACTGTTTAAGATTTAAAATGCTGCTTTTACTGACCACAAACATGTATGATTCTATATACTCAAGTGTATTGTAAGACCACGTGAGTTACATTTTTGGTGCTATGAAACATACAGACACATAATTCAATGAAATAATTTGGGAATTGTATCTTAAAATATCTTAAGCTCATCCCTTACTTCTCATCTCTTCTTTTTTTCTGCCCTATCTCCCACACCCTCCAAAACCCCCCACACAAAAGTAAGATAATTCTAAATCTGAAGTTGAATTCAGAGTGCTACCAAAAATTCTCTTCCCTTTTGTCAGATTTGGCAGAGGGAATGTAGAATTGGAACTGTCAGGGAAAGAATGAATAGCCCCATAATATCCTTACAACATGAACTCATTGCCTGTGTCCCCAGCACATTGGTACTTTACAAAGCCGTGCATGCTAAATTAATTGAGGGCATAAGGACAGATGCTTCTCCAACAAATGCCAAGGAGTCCTGGGCCAGGGCCTAATGCAGAGAGTGCTTGCGCCTCTTGACCTGTTGACCTGCTATTCAGGTCAATGAACCAACATCTAATTCACTTAATAACCAGGAGCTCTGAGGTACTGCGTATTGAGAGAGAGACTAAGTAAGTATACAGGAGCCTTCATGAGGATAATATTTTTTTTTAAGAAAATGGAGAAGAGCAGATGCATGGTTGAGGTTCAGTTTGAAACAGAAGATTCCATTCCACTGACTTGTAGTCTAGACACTTGGATACCTGGCCAAACCTTTTAAGTCAGTGCCATTGGACACCGTTAGTGGTCAGTTACCACTAGACAACAATCAAATCACAGGTCTAAATGAGTGAGTTTGGGTCTTAACTGCAAACAATGGAAAGAAGCCCTGTCTAAATTTCATAGAAAAAGAATTTATTTAAATAATTCAGCTCTCAGAACACCTGCAAAGCCTGGAAAATCACAATAAAAAAGTTGCTGTCCACCAAAGAATAACTTAAGCACATAGTATTATAATAGTTAGTATTATATTGTAATAGCTAATGCTATTATAATAGCTAGTATTATATTATATTATAATCCTAAAGGATACTCCTGTCTCTAAACCCTGCCTGTGGCTTCTTCTAATATGAATTCTCTTTTCCTGCTTCTTTGCTTTGTTTGATGCACAAAGGCCTCCTATGAAACATCTGCCTAGCCATGCACCCATGCCCCAGTATCAGAGCTCAGAAAGGGAGACTAGGCTTTCCAGTCTTTCTAAATGCAAGTGGGTTCTGAAATGGTCTCCTCCAGATGCAATGGGAAACTCCTCTAATATAAGAGGGATTTTAGATGCTAGGCAGTCAAAAATCAAATGATCGCACAAATCCATCTGCAAAAAGATTCTGGCTTATTTAAAAAACAGTTTTCTCTGAAATGTACTCTGCAGGGGATTTAGATGGGGTAGAGCCTGCCAACATAGAACAACACTGAATACAGAGAGAACACATGCTCTGGGCTCCATGCTCAGGTATGGCATGCTTGATTCCTCAACCCAAGCTGAAACAGCTACTTAACCGTTTGTCAGACTATTAGTAGGTGTCAGCGCAGCTCCTCCAGAGACACCAACATGACATGCCATCAGCACTTGCTCTGGGGAAACCGCCTGACACTTTTAATGAAAGCCCTGGGGTTACTCCACAGCAGGGCAGAGACAAGGCCTCGTCCTGTTGTGGCACAGGTGGGCTCATGCTGCAGCTCCCACTCTTCTGAGCAAGCATGCTCTTAGCTGTCCCAGCTAATGAGGAACAGACTTTCCTCCAGAAACTGGAAACTTCAGTTATGTGTCTCCAAGGAACATCCTGCACCAACTCTCTGAACGTAATTCAGTCAAAGCTCATTAAAATGCTGCATTTATTAATATTACAGTATATACAGGCAGAGAGAAGAAACAAAGACATTAAGATGCTTATAGAGTAATCTATGTACACTTTTTAGTTTGATCTTTCTTATGTAAGACTTACAGGATGAATATTTTTATTGCAGACAATAATGATTTCCCATAATAAACGGAATGTCCCTATATCCCCAATGGCACTGAGAGAACAGCACTGGGCAGACTGCTGTCCAGACCTTCAAGGATCTACTTTTCCTTTCCTCTTCACACATTTTTTTTCCTGTAAAATACCTCCCCGTGTCCAGATGACATGTCACCTAGAAATAATGATACCAATGGTGATTCAGTTTCACATTGGAATTTTAGCACCTTCACACGGTAGCCTTTTCCATTTTCTTTAACATCAGTTTCACATTCATTTATATTCCTTGAATAACAAATAAGAGTTTTTGATTTATAATTGATATAATGGGAAATTTTCAAAAGTTGAATGACAAGTAGTAAATGTATTTTAAGGGTCGTAGTTTTCATTTGAAAACCATTCCTGAACACAAACTCTGCTCCTACCACCACACCTTGTTCTGATATGCAAAGACCACCAAGCTATTACCTATAAGGAACTCTCCTCCTGGTCTCTGCTGTTCTGCAAGTATCATCTTTTCAGTGGAAACTTCCTTCACACTCACACTACAGCACATTGTGTTGTCCCTGTCTCTGATCTCCAATTGTGTGTTGTCTTTTTTTTTTTTTTTTTTTGGTACCTGGGATTGAACTCAGGGACACTCAACCACTGAGCCACATTCCCAGCCCTATTTTGTATTTTATTTAGAGACAGAGTCTCACTGAGTTGCTTAGTGCCTCACTTTTGCTGAAGCTAGCTCTGAATTTGTGATCGGGGCTCAGGAGGCTCCTGTCTCAGCCTCCTGAGCCCTTGGGATTACAGGCATTCACCACTGTACCAGCCAATTGTGTGTTTTCTTCACACCTCTCATATCCCGTATCTGTAGATCTTTTTTCTATATTTAGCCTGTGTATTTTACTTAAGGATCCTGAAGCTGGAAAAACCAACATATGCTTACATGCCCTTACCATCCCTGGGAAAAGTGCCATGGCCAAGTGAAAGGGACTCCAGTGAGGAGTGCAGACCACAGGGAGCCATGCTTCTCCCATCCTTCGACACTCCCTGCAAGAAGCCATATTTCTTTATCTAGATTTCCTGTGTATCTCCCATCCCCCAAACCCATGTGCCATTTGTTCAGAAATAGAAATGAAAGTTCAGAGAAATTTAATTTGGTTGGGAAAATATTTCATAATGGAGGTGAATCTTAAGTGAGGCTTAGAAGGGGAATATTTGCCTGGTGCAGTGGCACACACCTGTAATCCCAGTGTCTTGGGAGGTGAGGCAGGAGGATTGTGAGTTCAAAGCCAGCCACAGCACAAGCAAGGCGCTAAGCAACTTGGTGAGACTCTTTCTCTAATAAAATACAAAATAGGGCTAGGGATGTGGCTCAGTGGTTCAGTACACCTGAGTTCAATCCCTGGTAACAACAACAACAACTAAAAAAGGTGAGTGTTCATTTAACAAAACTGGATATATCCTTCTTGGGCAGATTCCAAATTTATTCAGAAGATATATTTCTATACA